ATTAGATTTTTGAAAAATAACACCCCATGATCTGTTCAATATTGTTTAAGTGTGGTTAGTTTGATTCAGGTGGAAAATATATTATTTCCAGGGTCTATTGACATATAAGATTCTGAGATTTGAATAATTAGTTTAGGGATTTTCTAACATGTGTCATAAGGATACACATAACAAACATTAGTTCAACTATTAATTATGAAAAATATTACAATAATTAAATATAAAATTTATAATTATAGAAAATATTCTTCATAATTAACACATTTCACATTTAATTACGGTAATATTTCTCATAATTAATAGTTCTTATATGTGCCTTTAGGACACATATTAGAAAATCTCATTAGTTTTTACTAATTGTATACTGGTATAATGTTGTGAGACACAAATTTTTTATTGCACAAATTTAAGTCAATATGATGTTTTATGAAATAAGTATTTATTAAGTAGTAGGTGTGAAACCCGTATATTACACGGATTGATTAAAAAAAATATATCAAAGTTTAAGTATTAAGAAATTTTTTAAAATAAAATTTCAAAATAAATAGATATATTCAACTAATGAATAAATAGAATCGAGAAAATCATCCATAATATCAATGATTGTTTTGTTATATTCATTAAATTTATTATCATATTCAATTTATTTTAATATATCTTTTATATATATATATATATATATATATATATATATATATATATATATATATATATATATATATATATATATATATTAAGATTCGTTGCATTTATTATCACACTAAATATATGTAATAGTTTTCATATATAAATTTAGTATTATGTGGCATACTAATAGATTTAATTCAAAAAACCATAAAATGACATGTGAATTTAAATTTAATTAAAAAATTTACAAAATTACATATATCAAATTTAATGAAAAGATGACATTTAGCAAAATGATATTCATTTATTAAGATAGATATGATACTATAATCATCTATTTATTTTAGGAAAGTTTAAATTACAACTAATTCAAGCTAGATTTATTATCCAAGTTTTATAGATAAACTGGCCAAATATAATATCCAAGTTTTGTCGATACAAGATAACTGGACATTAAATTGAATAGATTTGTTAGTTTTATAGATAAACCGGCCAAATATATTATCCATGATCAATTAAAAGTAATTTGATCATTAAAACAAAATGCTTTGAAACAATTTTTTTTATACTTTTCATATCAATGTATTGATATCTGTGCAAAGTTTTCTTGAAGTGTTGCATTTGAGCATTCTAAATTAGATAGTACTTCTCTTCTATGCAAAAAAATTCGTTGTTGATGCATATTATTTTTTAATGTCAATTCCAAAAAAATTCGTTGTTGATGCATATTATTTTTATGAATATTTCCTACTGAGGGATATAAATCTATTATTATTTTCAATTAAGTCCTTCATCTCTTTTCTTCTCCATTACCTTTGTGATTTTTAGCCTTGTAACCTTCCTGTTATCGAGATTCATTAATATACCAACTTGTATCTTGTGTTTTTTTTCCCTCACAAGGGTTTCCACATTTTTTTTTTTTTTGTGTTAATAATGTTTTCTTTGATCTTAATATTATAACACTAAGGTGCTGTTTGTTTTTTCTGAGGCAAAATGTCTGCAGTCTGCGGACCACATCTGTAGACCTCTGCAGTAGAAGAGGTGGACCAAACGTCTGCAGTCTGAAAAAAGAAGACTGTTTGTTTTTTTAACATCTGCGGGCTATTAAAATAAACTGAAATCTAAATAAACTGATTTTTTTAAACTTCAAAGAGAATTTTTTATATATTTTTACGACTTTATTATAAATATATAACGAATCTAGATCAACTTTTATGTATTATTATATAAAAAATAAAAATAAAAATGGTATTAATTCATATACATATTTGATAAAAACCAACAACTTTGATTGCAAAGTTATAACTAAACATTATAATTAGTGATCAAAGAATTTGTACATAAATAGATGGAAATAAACTTCGATTTTTTCAAATAAATCTATTAAAAACGTACGATAAATATTTTCTCGAGAAATTGATGATACTCTATTAAATAAAGTTTTACAAAATTTTGGCAAAAAAATATAAGAATATATTTTGATTTTTTTTTCATATTTATATAAACAATTTCAACGACTATTATTATAATAAATTTTTATTTATAAATTTGTTAAAAGTATCATGTTTGTATCATCAAATGTTTTTTTTTAAGTTTTGTAATTTTTTTTTTCATATTGTTTATCATTAATAAAGTTGGAAAAAATATAAATTAAAAAAAAAACTTAAAAAAAATAAAGATATATATGTTTTTTTAAGCTAGAAGATGTCTGAAGATGTTAGAAGACTCTGGTCCACATCTGTGCCAAGAAGAGGGCACGCAGACATTTTTAGGTCTGCAGTCTTCAAAAAAAACAAACAGTCTGCGAAGACTAATGTCTGCGCGTGGTCTGCGCGGCGCAGACAGAAGACGTCTCGCAGATCTGCAGACAAAAAACAAACACTACCTAAGTTATAACTTGTAGAAACCACACTTGATTTATAATTAAAATTTTATAATAAAAGCTCATAATTATTAATCAATTGTTTTAAATAAAATATTAATTAAAATATTCAGGGTTTTTTTTAATTTATGTAAAATTATAATGATTGATTCAAATAAATAAATAAAATTATTTTTCAATGTATTTTAAACCATTATTATTTGTGACTTAGTAAAATAAATGATATTGTATAATGAAAATTTAAATTAATTATAAAAAATAAAACAACCATGAGAATAGAAGTGAGTTAAAATTGATCTATGAAAAATAAGAAAATTAAGTTGTTGAAAATAAACGTTATAATAAATAATATGCTACAAACTATTTACAAAATTTTAAAAAGTTCTTTATAAACAACATTAGAAGTTTTATTTGTAGGTCTACAATTCTTATTTAAAATTAATAATTTTAATCACTTGTTACTTTTAATTCAAGATAAAACAATATACAATTGACCATGTGTAAAAAACGGATCTTTGAGATACAAACCAACCTTAGATAAAAACTGCCATTGGCTCTTGTTAATTATCATTACAAAACAAACGGCTATCGAAAACACGATCTTGTTGTGCCCTATAGAAAAAAATAAGAAGGTTAGTAAATTGATATAATATAAATATAAATAAAAGTAAATATAATCATTGAAAATGATTTCTTTCTTAAATTTTGGTATGAAATTCCACATACTTAATACTCGAACTTTAAATGTGGTATTAGGTGATACCACACCAATGACATTCAAGTAGGTGACGGTCACTAGACATTATGTTGAAAGTAAAAACGTGTATAAAAGGAGTTAAATAAAAATCATACAAATGTAAATAAATAGCAATGTAGTTATTAATTAAACGTGACAAAAAGGGACCAAATGTGTAAAAATATAAAATCGAGGATTACCTAAAGTATGTTTCCAAAAAATTTATTTAACAAATAAATGATACTCATTTTTAAACCATTTAGCGTAACACAAACATGGAGAAATCATACTTTTACGACTCCCATATGATGCAATAATGAAATTCCTATAATAAACACAATATTGAAATCCCCAAAGAGCTTGAGGATCTGTTAACATAAATAAATTACATGTTAAAGTGCCCATATTAGCATTTTTTATAATATTGACTTCCAACCATTTTTTATAATATTAAAGTGCCCATATTAGCATACATAACTTAAGAACTACAATAATAACCATTCTAGGCCTATATTTGAAGTACTTGTTGACATAAATATAATTTTATAATTAGTGTAATGGGTAGATCTTTCAAAAGGGAAATGAAAGTAGAATTTTTAGGCCCGTATTAGCAACCTACTTCTATTTTTTTAATAATCATTTTAAAACATATAAGTAAAATGCTATAAATCTGAAAAATAAAATAAATAACCAACAAATTTATAAAAGACAAATAAGCTTATTTTTCAATTTACCAATTTACAGTTCTAATAAAAATGAAAGTAGCATGCTAATTTCAAAAAAAAAAAAAAAAGTAGCAAGTTAATTTTGGGTTAAACCATAAAATAACATGTTTAATTCATATGAACTTCTAGTAAATTAACAACAAATAAACTTATAACAACACCTTGTGGGTTAGATGTGATGAGCCGCACGACAATATAAACAAACAATCGTATTTTATTTTATTTTTTGATGAACAAACTTTTTATTAACAATAAGGATGCATGCACGAAACCGGAACAAATAAACAATACAAAGAGAAAAGATAAATAGCAGTAGTTGACATCAACAACTTATAATCACTCATCCAACAAAATTATTAGAATTTAGTATGTTTTTTGTTTATACAATAAAGGGTAAAATAGTTTTTTTTTTGTCAATCAAATAAGAGAAAGTGCAGCCATATGCTGAATGAATCAGAATAAGTTCATGGTGTCAACTTCTTGGTACATTTATAAGATTAGGAGTTCATATTTGCCAAAAACGATTAATCAAAACACAGATTGCAAATTTTTTTTTTTTTTTGTTATAAATGATTAACTAAAACATCAAGACATTACCTAATAGAGAATGAATCAATTCATCCTATTGAAAAAAGATTTTGAAATCAAATTCAATTAAAATTAAAATCTCATTAAATGCAAACCGAGCTTGTAGGAAATATCTTATAGGATAACAAGTGGCAAGTATTAACGAAGACAGAAGATGACATGAGTAATATGAACTATTGTTTTAGTAGTAATAATGATAGATAGAAAGTTTGTTCACAACCTTAATCAATTTACTTTAGGAGTTTTTTTTACTCCTAATTGATTTTTTATCCCATAAATCATATAATTGATTTTCCTTTAGGAGTTTTCTTACTCCTAATCGATTTTTTATCAAACAACCCTATTCCTATAATGGATTTTCTTCAAAACCTTTTATAGGTTATAATAAATTCCATTTTACTTCGATGAAGTATATGTTTTCAGGATGAATGAAAGAAGAAAGTTCGAACAAAATAAAAGCATCCACAATATGAGTTTTTAGCAACAAAACATGATGAAATGTTCCATGAATTTCTACATTTTGAAATTTTCTTTACAAATTTTTTAACTTTCCCTGGCTAGTTGAAATGAACGATGTTAGACTATGAACAAGGCTAGATACAAACGACAGCTAACAACACCTTGCTCTGTACACAAAAGACATTACTACCCTTACCCTCTTTTCTTTTCTTCAACACTGAATTATACCAAACGGAAACCTAACCTAGCCCAGAGAAATTCCATCCAAATTAACCAGCATTTAACGAGGCTGCTGAATGCGCTGTGCACGTGACTTCGGGCTCATACTCACCGCTTTTGCCGGCTTCTCCCAATACCTAGCCACCTCCACCGGTGACTTCGGACCCCACTCCTTCATTGACTTTGACAAAGTCAAACCCCTCATCACTTCAGACTCCAACTCCAGACCTGATCATTTATTAGACTTAGATTAATCTAGCTATGAATAGTAATTGCAACGACTGAGTCCAGGAAGAGAGTAAAAGGGTATGTTCTTTTACCATTTGTGGGGATTTGCTTGAAGGTAGTAGGAGATGGAGTGAAAGTGTTTGTTCTTTCCATTTCAGATAAAAGGAGGAACTGCTCATACTGTGCTTCCATGGTCAAAGTGTCTTCATCGGCTTCAATGGAATCAGGGAGGAGATCCGTGACATCGAAGTCATCCACTGTGTTAGCAAAGAAACCATCTTCTCCCTGTTGCTGGCTAAGCCAGTAGTCATGGAACCAAGTGGAGGTTGTGACGAGGTCCCACCATTCCGGGGAGAAGTCCTCAACTTGGCGGACGGCGGCGGGGACAAACAGTGGGGCGTTGGGGTTGAGTGTGGAAGTTCTTCCTGAAACTAACGTCATTCTGTTTTTTTCGATCGAACACTGGTGTGATTAGGCTACCTGACATGAACAAAAACTCATTAGTTATTAAAATCAAAGCAAGTTTAATTCTCACTTCGCAGATCGATTCATAAGCAATATACTAGAAATATTGTCGAATATTCATTAACTTGTAGGCATGAATGAAGATTCAGGACTTAGAAAGCAAACAGAATAGCGTGTTCGCTTCATTATACCAAACTTCGTTATTTTGCAACTTTTTGAACATATCACTTCATGTCGAACCTTAATCAACACATCAAATGTCCAAGATCAAGATCGAGAAGCAAATCAAATCCATATGAGATCAGTCTGAACTACTTACGAGCACAAAAGAAATGATCGACGCACATAAGATAATCAACATAATCGCAGTAAGATCAAAACAAAGAAACAAAATCAAGAGCTAGATAGGAAGTAGTTTTTTCGATGATCAAAACAAAAATCCAAACCGTGTAGTCTAAATAAAATTTCATGATCAGTCTAAATAACAGAAGCTTAAACCTAAAATCAAAATTGCGGATCACATCACGACTCAAGTCGTTATTAAACTCGTAATCACGCATAAACTATTACAAAACAAGAATTTAAGCGATCGAAGCCCAAACTTCGATGATCATCCGATTAAATCAGCCGAACAAAGGACAAGAGAAAACGCAGCGAACAGGAAATCAGATCAAACAGAACCGAAGATCAACAGTTGATTCAAATACAGTAAAGCAGAATTACAGTAAAATTATACCTTCGATGGATCGTTGAAAAATATCTCAAAAGCAAAACGTGGTTCGGAGCTTTTGGCTCGGGCAATCAGATAAGGTGCAAAGACACAACGACATGAGTATTTATAGGTCAGAATCGGAACGAATTCCAAGCCTGAGGTTCGGAACCGAACCAACCCCTTGAATTATATCCGAAGCTGTCAGCAGCCGACGCGCTTGACTCACACGTGTACGATTTCAAATGGGGGAAAGTGATGGGAAGGTGCTTGGAGCCCACCAATGAGTTGATGGATTATTACGGGGAAATGGGCGGATGAGATTAAGCGTTTGTGCTTTTAAAAGTTTAATCTAAAGGTGACTTTTTTAGGCCGGTTTTGATTGGTGGGTCCTGAGTTAGCAACGCGACAAGCCCTCGACATAATTTGGGCTCCACCGAATTGTATCATATCTTTTTCTATTATTTTTATGTCTATATTTATATTGGTAAACAATCATTCCATATAATCAATGGAAAATAACTTATAACAAATTTTGATTTTATTTATATTTGGTATTTTCTATTTTTTATACTATTTATCAATTTTTTTTTGTGTGTGTTCTTCATTAGCTATTATGTAATATCATGACTCCACATTTAAATTGTAGATACCATCGTCAAAAAGCTTATGTAGATTTAAATAATCAAATTGATGCACGTTCTCACTACACCTGAAAGTAAATTGTGCTCCTATTATTAGGCCATATGGAATGGTCATGCGTGTTTGGGATGCCACATAGATTTTTCACCATTCCACACCCAACCCACCAGGGTATGGAAATGATGTTCACCGGTGGGCTGATGGTGAAGGGGGCAAAAAAAAAGAGAGAAAGAAAGAAACTGTGAGGGAAATTGTGAGGGACCAATCAGATGCAGCGTCTTCTTCTGTCTTCCTATTCACGTCACATGCAGCCCACCGATTTTGGGAGCGGTGTTCACGTGTGGGAGAGACTGCCACCTCAGCCCAAGACGCGTGGAATGTCTTCCATACCGGATAGCCTTATTGCTGCTATGTTAAATCAAAGTGAGTTGATGCTTAGTTTTGGTTTTTTTATTAATCCACTTCATAAAATTGTATCTTTACTTTTATACCCTTTGTAAACTATAGTCATCGGAACCTTGATTTCATCCGTTATTAGATTTTGTCTACGTTTTATTTTATTTTATTATTTTTTTTTACACCTTTAATTTGGAAAGTTGTGTCTTATTTACATATTATTAAAATGAACGTATATATTAATTACACAAATAACTAAATTGTTGAAACAAAAAACAAATAAAACATTATAGAAATATGATATCAACACCGTACAAATATAATATTACTGGAATCGGTTAAATATCATCATTTGATTTATTAAGTGTCGTATCACACAATATCATATACTAGTTAAAACAAAATTGGTGGTGTAATCTAAATTAATATCACGGTCACAAAGTAAATAACAGTTACAAACCATACATTGAAATAGTAATTCATACAATGTAATAGTGACGGTAATAAAGCACTCACTATACCCCAAGTAATATGTTGTTCAACAAATTATTCAAACGAATGCATATCACAAGATGTTCAAACTAATGTATCATGAAATATTTAATCAATTCAAATATTCAATCTGAGTTCGGCCAATACTTCTTTATCATCACTATTACATCATAAGATCTGCTACTTCAAAATGCAGTTCATGATCGTTATTTTTTTTGTGATCGTGATAGCAACTTAGATTACACCGTTAATAAAACGAATTATTAATGTATGATATGAAATTTATTAAATCAAACGAATAGTGTTGGTATCATATTTGTATGATTTTTTATTTAATTTTTTGTTATAAAATTTAATTATTTATTGTTATTTCTATATACTTTGTTTTAATAAAAAATTAAAGTAAAAAAAAAAAAAAAAAAAGACCAATGAAGGGATACTAAAATCAAGGATATGGGTTTCCAAATTGGAGGCCTTGAAAAAAATAGATGGCATCTAAATAAGGATGAAATCAATTTAAGGGATCAAAATCAAAGTTTTTTTTATGATCATGGTTTCTAAAAGGCAAAATAGGAAAATATAATATTATTAAGTGGATAGATAAAAAGACTAAGCGGAAATATCACCTCCCTAAATAAAAAAAAAAAAAACAACAAAAACAAATGTTATCATAGGCCTGATAATCATGTCGTGTTCAGGTTGGCGTGTCACGGGTTTGCGGGTTTGGAACATAAACTCATATATAACCCATCAACATTTGTTTATACGGGTTCACAGATTGGCGGGTTTGTGGGTCAGATTTGGGTTTGTAAGTCAGATTTCATAAATAAAATTGAAAATTAAACATGAATAAATTCTTGATAGTTGATGCAAACATATCTGAATTTTAGACACTTAAGTTTTAAATATGCAAATGAAAATTAAAAACATTTATAGAAACATATTCAAACTAACCATTAAAACATACATAGATAATTTAAGTGCTAAAGTAATAGCCACAATTCCAATTTTCTTTCTCCCAAAAAAAAACAAAGTCAATTCTCCAACACTATTTTGATACATCATTTCGATCATAGAGTAACAGAGGGAGAGGGAGACTGTGAGAGACTAAGAGTCTGGAAGTCTGGAAGAGAGAGATACACTCATACGCAATTTGATTTTGAGATTATTATTTAGAAAAATGGGCAAAATGGTTACTGACTTAGCCTTACAGGTTACGACTTACGACCTTAAATCATCTATAACGAGTCAAAATGGTCTATGAATCAATGGTATATATATATATATATATATATATATATATATATAATATTTATTAAATATTAATAGTTGATACATAGTGCATTTAAAAATAAATTAAATTCTTTTTTTTAATATAAATGGGTTGGTGAGTCAACCTGTTTATTTTTTTGAAAAACCCATATATGACCCGTTTAATAAATAGGTTAGTGGGTTGGCAGGTTGAAAAACTCAACCCAAACCAATTTATTTCGTATCCTGTTGCGGGTCGTATCGAGAATTATTAGCCCTATGTTATCCTAATACATATTAGTTTAAATAAAACAATAATAACCAATTAACAATAAAACTAAAAAATTGATTGGAATGAAATCATGTTTTAGTGTTAAAAATCATCAATTTAGTGTTTGATGGGTAGAGTTGCTCAAAAAAAAACATTAGTTTGTTATAATTTTCGATTTAATCATTCAATTTTCATTTCTCATAAAAATCATCAATATTTGGATTAAAAAATGATTGCGGCCATTGTGACCAACAAATTCCGGTCAAACCTGCGATGCTTCTTTTTGTTATAAAAGAACCACTCAAATTTGTAAGATGCTTCTTTTTGTTGTAAAAGAACCACTCAAATGTTTTAAAATTTAATTGTGTGGACTCTCTGTGTTTGTTTTAATTTTGTTTTGTTTTTTAAATTTTAATGTTTGTTTTAATCAGAAAAATAATAATTATAATATTTTAAGCTTTTGTTTCTACAAATAAACAAATAAACATCTATATGGATACATGTCAATAATAACCCATATTTTTTTTTTTGAAAAATCATTCATTTTCTTTGTATGTAATTTATTTTTAGGTTTTTCAATTGAAAGATAATTCAATTTTGGTTTCACTAAAAAATGATTTTAATATTATATTATAGAAATGATCAATGTGCTTGTATAATTACAGAAACCAAATTTTAGGGTTTGGTTTTTCAACATAAAAATTCAAAATTGAATAGTATTTCAACCAAAAAAAATGTAACCCTTCGAATTTTTAACCTGCCTTTATAGATCTCCTTTGAATTTTTAACCTGGCTCTATAGAACTCCTTAACTCATCTCTTTCTTTTCTATTACAACAAACAATTGGTGTGATCGAGTATTAATAGTATGCTTTGACATATACAATACTCTTTATTGAACTTTTTATTGGAAGGTGGTTGATGTTTTGTGAATTTGAATTGTATACTTCACTTTCTGTACTTGTTAGTATTTACCATTCTATCTAGGGCTATTTTTATGTTTTTGATGACTACATCCTAATTAAAGATAAGTTTGTAATTGATTGGGAGAATTTTTTTTTTTTTATGTAGAGCAAGAATGTTGTAGATAATGATGTGGAAGTAATGGATGGTTTCTAACAATACATGTGATTAATTAAAGTTCAAAAGCAAAAGGGAATATGTCATTAGTGGGTCTTTAAAACCGTTTACGCAAGCAATCATATGATTTCTCTTT